CTGTGCCTAACTTTACTTTGAGTAGATCTTTCTTTTCTCCAGTATCCTGCAAACAACTGAAGGATCCACTCAGAGTAGGTGTGGACCACTTCTAAGTTTTGTCATCGATTTGGTTCCAGACCATGCCCAACAGCTTTGCTTGGTTGTCACTACTCCCCAAGCCTTCATACTTATGTATTTGCAGAGCCAGTTCCGGACAATTGTCTCATTACATTCTGTCCTGCCCAATTTCTAGTGGTGCTTTTGAAGGGCTCAAATTCTTTCTCAAACGCAGAGAAACTGATTTTTCTTCCCTTGGGTATCAACTCACTTGTTTCACATACAATGTCACTGTTTGCCTTGGCAGCCAAGAAAATATGGGCTAAAATCCTATCTGAGGGGTGAAACGCTTTAACCTGATAAGTGGTTTAAGTTCCTGTTTATTTTAATGATTTTTTTGTGTCTTATGTTCTTTGTGATTGATTGCAATGGCCTTGGGCATTATACAACAAATGCTGTCAAAACTGGATGAATCCGAATAGGGTTATGTAACCTGTAAGGAGGAATATTTATTTCCTGTAGTGAGATAATCACCCAAGTTCCTACCAAGTCCAAGCCTGATACTATTAGATCTTCATACAAATACAGGCTCTGGCTCATGACAACTTCTACCACAAATTTCAGCCTCCAAAGGTGCCAACAAGAAAAGTCAGTTTGGTGACAGTATCCAACAAAGTATCTAGGAGACCCAGGCTCAATTCCCCTCTCTGCCTTTGAAGCTCACTGGGTGGACCTTGGGCTAGTTAACTCTTCACCTAACCTTCAGAAGGGGGATGAAATGTTGCGGGAGAGGGAAGTCAGCAGGGGAGAGTTCAGGTCTGCCTCCGGGAGAGTGCAGTGATAGTTTGAGGTCTGCCTCAGCAGACATTTTGAAGGGTAGCTCTGCCTAGTAGCGTGGCAGAGCAGTTGAACTCTGCCTTTGAGAGAGAACAGAGTATGCAGTCATTCGGCTGCCTCTGGTGATGAGCAGACCTTGTACCATTTAGTCTGACCTTTGGGAAAGGCCGGGATGGTATGGTTGGAATCCTGTTTGAGTGAGAGGATCCAAACCACTGGGTAGTCAAGTAAACGCCTGTTCATGCCTGAAAGCATTAAAAAAATTCAAATCACACTGTGAAGCCACTAGCTTAAATTTATGTGCCTCAGCCAGCCTCTGATTATCTGGAGACCTGTGCTACTGATCTATTATTTGAAATCAACCTGTAAATAAGTAAAACTTTTTGTGTTATTTATATACAAATCCAGCCTCAGTGATCTCCATATTCTACTTGCTTACCACAAAACTTACCTCATGGCAGAGAACTCAAAGCCTATACACTTGCTGCCTTTAGAACACCTGGGAACTGAGAAGGCTTAATAAGTTTAAAACAAACCTAGTCCCCCCGAAATCATAGGAGGCTGTGTGGGTCCCCTTAGCTGCTGGAAAAGGCCTGTCACAGGTGCACTGGGCCCCATTGGGGAGAAAAGGTGGATTCAGATATCTGAATATTGTGGAGAAAAACTTGTTTGGTTGTAGTGGACTAACGCAGTTTATACCCTTGAATTAGCTTTCCACAGCAAGTTAAATATATATGAGTGGCAAGGTCCAGAGGCCAAGCGGGGACATGATGCTGACACGAGGCAGACTGGCTCAGACTGGTGAGCAGCCCTTTGCAAACACACGTGGATCGGAGGCTGCATTCTAGCAGGGTTGTTATGGGGACAAGACTATTTTGTAGTCTACCCAGAACCACTTGGATACAGGAAAGCAATGGAAAACACAATGTGGAGCTCAATGGACTCTGGTTTGTTAAAGCAAGTCAGTTTCCAGCTTTTAGATCTAGCTTTTCACCTAGAGATGCCAGCCTCCAGCTCATCTCCAGACTACCAAGATCAGTTTCCCTGGAAAGAATGGATGCTTTGGAGGGTGCACTCTATGGCATTATACCTCCCCCCACACACATTGAGGTCCCTGTCCTCCCCAGGCTTGACCCCCAAATCTCCAGGATTTTCCAATTTGGATATGGCAACCCTACCCCCATCCCCTGTTGGTGGCCAAGAGGGACCTGACAGCCCTAACCCCAGCCCAGCACCTACAGCCAACTTGGTGTAGGCATTAAAGTGTTAGGCTAGGATCTGGAAGCTCCAAGTTTTAATCTCCACTTTCCCACCGAAGCTTGCTGGGTGACCTTGGGACTAGTCACTCCAAGTCTGCGATCCCACAAACGAAATAATCCACTTTCAATGCACATTCAAATTGGATTTTGCCAGTTTACACATTATAATCCAGTTGGATTATTTAGTGTATGTTATCGCACCTCTAGTCTAAACTATCGCCCAGGGTTGCTGCTGTTGTGGGCATGGCAAGGGAGATGGGAGAAAAACTTAATTAAGCAAAAGCAAGGGAGTAAAAGAGCTAAATGAATTTTTAAAAAATTAACTGTAGGAAAAAAGCCATCTTTGGAAAAACAAGAGGCAATTTTATTTCTCAAAGCAGAATTGGTAGCAAAGTCACAACAATAGTACAGTCAAGAGTAAATACATAAAAAAACCCCATTATAACTTATACAGAGTGAAGGTGCATCTGAGACAATGGAGAGACAGTCTTTGACTGTCCCACTTGGGGTGGAGGGCAGCCAGATGGCAAAAAACATCTGATGGCAAGTGTGAAATGTAGCAGCCACACCAGACTAAAGCTACAGATGTTTTACAACACCCTGGCCTCCCCTTCTCCCCCATTTGTACTGGGCCATCCTTCCCCTCTCAAGGTCAACAGAGAAATGGGCTTGTCTCACACAAAAAAAGACCCATTAGAACTGAACATATGACAAACAACAACAAAAAAATGATTTGGATGCTAACAAAGCCATCCATACTGTGCAAAATGGGTAGAAAACATATTGGGGGGGGGGAATCAGGAATTGGCAGAGGGCTGGTAGTGAGGGTAGAAACAATAATTGAAACCAGCTTGAGGAGTTGAGGCCTGCTCAGCCCAGTCATAAGACAAGCCGGCCTTTGAATTTCACAGTGCGTTTATTGCCTGATTTGTATAATACTGCTGTGGGCTTAAAGAGAATTCATATTCTCCTTTTCAGAGGCCTGTGGGGGGGGGGGGTCATTCCGCAAAGCAGCCAAGCAATGGGCTATTCCACAGTAACACTAAGTTCAACTTGCATTCCCCTATGAAAGATGGGGGGGGGGGGGGGGGGGTGTGGGTGTGTGGGGGGGGGGGGGGGGGGGGGGGGGAGAGAACCTTAAGTTTTACAGGATGTGTCCTCGACGTTTGATAGCAAGAAAGGCATTAAGTCCAGCTTTGCAATGCAACGAGGTATATGTTATCTTAAGGCAGTGTCTTTAAACCTAGAACAGGATCCTGAGCCACGCAAGCAGAGTCGCGCTAGAGGCTTCCCTGCTTCTGCACATTTCCGGGTCTCCCCCCCTCCCCAAATTTGCTTCTGTGTGTCAGTAGACTCTCAAGGAACAATGTGGAGAGCAAATAAGGAATCTGAAGCTGGAGGGAGATCTCCTTCCTCTCCTCTGCAGATGGAGGAGGATCCAAGCCATAATAAACCAGACAACTAACATAACTTGATGTTCCTTCCATCCAAGGCTAACTGGTAACTAACTGCAGGTGGAGCACTCAGACGTCTTTAACCATCTTTCAAGGGCACCTGTCAAATCATGATTCCAGGACTTTTTTTTTTTTAAAGGAAGAAAACTAGTGAACACACCAAGAAAAATCTATGTCCAACTGAACTCCTGGAGTGAAATTCAGGGACTCTGCTCCAAATCCACCACAAGCCACTCTTTTGGGTGGCCGTTTGGTAGACAGTTTTGTGGCAGGGGTGATCTGGCTGGGGAGGGGAGTAGGTAGCATGTCTCCCAGTGTCTCATTGTAATAGATTCCGGGCCCTAGTTTGACAGCAGGCGAAGTCTGATAGCCCCTAGGCCGGAGGGCCTCCAGTCTCAGCAAAACAAAAGAGAGACTGAAGTGTGCTAGAATCAGACCAGGGAAGGTCAGCGTGGTTCTTAGGTTAAAGTGATATCCATCTTCAAACCCTCAAAGAACTCTCTCCTTCCTCCACAATCAGGATGGGCTAACAAGGGGGGGGGCTTTTTGCACACAGGATGGACCCTTAACCAAATCAGGAGAGTGGAACATGGCCAAAATCCTTTATGCCACAACAGTGAAATCCAAGGCCCATTTGCTCCAAGCAGTTCCCAGCCAGCTCAGAGGTCATGCTATCAGAGACCTGGCCAGACTATACTGAGAGCAACGCCAAGCACCCCTGAAGTAGGCTTAGGCTTGGGCAACAGCCTCCTCTCCCCAAACCTCTGGCCTGGAATTAACCCTTTTTACTTTTATGCTTGTGGGTAAATATCAAGTCAAGAATGAGAAAGATAGAATGAAACAAACATCTGCATCTTGTTGGGACATTTTGAAATGGAGGGACACTTTTAAGAAAGTGAACAGAGGCAAGGCATGCGTATCCGCTTCAGGACGCTGAAACTGACCACTGGATTTTACAACATGGCGACTGCACCTATCAGGAAGGATCACTTTGACCATGAATTACATTGCCGATGATTACAGGTTAATTCTTGACCTACAGTTGAAAGCTACTGAGGGGGCAAAATTGCCTAACCAGAGGCAATTCAAGGAAAAAGACTCTCCTATTGCGAAAAGCTAATAATTGAGGCTTTGGGGAAGGAGAAAGATTTAGGGATAGTTCTGCTGAATTCTCTAAACACTTGAGCAAGGGAGAATCCTGGAATCAGAGAGATGTTATAGGGAGAGGGCAGAGTTTGTGCCTGAAAACGGTAGCTTTTTGAATCCAAATTCACATCCCCTCCCATGGCATGAGTGGATGCTCCCTCCAGAAACAGGAGACCTGGGTGCTCCAGACCTGCAGTAAATCCATTGGGAAATCTCCCCACCCCAACAAAAGCACCTTTCCCAATTTTCACATGACAACCCCCCCCAAAAAAAAATCTGCCCCAGCTTATCCCCAGCCTTACATTCCTTCTCAAGCCATCCTTCCCAGAGCTAGGAGACCAATGCATCAGTACACAAAACAAGGACAGCGTTTGGAGTGCAAAGGCCGTGGGCTCTAAAATCAGAAATGTAGTGTGAACAACCAGCCGCAGAAAACAACATTCAATCTGTCCCCCCCGCCCCCCCCTTCCCAACTTTTAAACAATCATCAAGTTCATCAAAGAGACACACTGGTGATCTGCTTGAACCTTCCAAGACCGACAGCAGGTATATAGGCCAGAGAGAGAGAAATCACGCTTTTTGTCACAACAGAAGGATCTCTTTGGTTCACCCAATCTTCACCCCAGTTGGCTGGGCGGTATCATCCTTGGAAAAAAGATGCAACCAGAAGACTAAACAGTCACTGCACCAATCATTTTTTTTTTGGGGGGGGGGGAGCTAGGTGCAGCTGTGGTAGAAGGCCACCACCTATCTGAACACATCTCGGGCCAATCGAGGGCTTAGCAAACCCGTCTTCCAAGATTCCAAAACAAAGCCAACACCATGGAACCCTGAGCCCCTGTGCTGGCCAGGGACAGACCCCGCAAGCCACACAGCAAACCACCGATGTCTCCAGAGGCAGCCAAGGCAGCCGGATGCGACAGTCATTTCCCATCACAGTTTGGCCTTCTCCCCACCCACCCCCCTGGCAAGTCTCTTGGCAGGAGGTCCCCTTCAAACAACACGCTCATCTTCGAGAGCCAGAGAGAGGCGAGGCAAGGTCTTTTCATGATGCCTTCTGAAAACAGATTGCTGATTTTAAAAACTCCCCCGCCCTCCAGTTGGTCTGCCCCTTGAAGGACGAGAGAGGGGACGGTCTCATCAGGTCATGTAGCGGGTGATGGCACGCAGGGCGTAGAGCAGGGCGGCCTGCATGCGAGCTTCCAGGAGAAGTAGGTTTATGTGTACCTAGAAGACGGAGAAGGAGGGATTTGTCATAAATGGAAAGGGAAAACTCAAAGAGCTGCACACAGAGATGGCTTCTCTCTCTACTTCCCCCAAATGAGGGCAACTCTTTACCCCACTGCAAAGAAATGCCCTCACCTGGATAGCCAAATCTCATCAGATCTCAGAAGCTAAGTAATATCGGCCCCAGTTAATACTTGGATGGGAGACCACCAAGGAAGTCCAGGGTTCCTACTCAGAGGTAGGCAGTGGCAAACCACCTCTGTACCTCTCCTGCACTGAAAACCCTACAGGATCCACATAAGTCAGCTGTGACTTGATGGCAAGAAAGAAAGAAAGAAAAATATTGTTCTCCCCTTCCCTACAAGCAAACAAGGATTATCTGGGCTATTTCAGAGAGACATTCTTTACTGGATCACAAGGCACATGATACTTGCTGAAGCTAAGCAGGGCTGGATTTGGTCCAGGCCTGCCCAGGATGCCTCTTTAAGTCCCCGCGATGGAAGAAAGGCAGATGAATAGAATGGAATTTTATGATACTATTGTTATAAACAAAAATACAGCAGCCTGAGGGAGACTGAGGTAACACAGACATTCCTCAACCCCAGGGTTGGGTCTATGCTGTGATTCTATGGGAGCAGTATTCCCTCTAAAGTGAGTTACTGTGAGCTAGCTCACAGTTTTTTAGCCTCCAGCTCACACATTTTTGCCTTAGCTCAGGAAGGATGGCTCTGGAGCAAACTAATTTATGCAATAGCCAAATCACTTGCTCACAACTTTACTGCCAGTAGCTCACAAAGTAGAATTTTGCTCACAAGACTCCACAGCTTAAAGGGAGCATTGTATGGGAGTGCTGAATTCACCTTCCTGAGACCTCTCTGCTTTTACATTTATGTAGTTATTTTAAGGGAAGCCTATTTCTAGCTATTGTGGCTGCAAAGGGTATGCAGGCAACCCTGGAAGTCAGAACATACCTAAGCAATAATTTCAAGAGGTAGAGGAGAAGTTTCTAAGGCTGTTCTCTGTGGGGCATACCTGTCTCTCCCCCAGATTAGCAAAGCCCCACCCCCCATTCTACATATGAGAAAGTATACAAATTTGTTCCACTTGCATAATTTGGACAAGCCAGAGAAATTCAGTCCTCTTGATTCAGGCTTTTCAATGAAAGTATCACTACTTCCCGTCTCCCCAAGATCTTAAAGAATTTTCAGTTGTAGACAGTTTCACATGGAGAGAGCTTTAAAAATGTGACTCCCCCCCACCTACAACCTGACGTGGTACAGCCCCACTCCAATTCTTCTGCATGTCTCCATCATGGTTGATCAGTGCACCAAACAATACACATTTAAATCTTGAGTGGGAAGATTTATTTATTTATTTAATTAAATTTATACCCCGCCCTCCCCATGAACAGGCCCAGGGCTGCTCACATTGGTTGGTCCACAGTGACAGGTGAACAGGTGTACCCTTCTTCCAGGTCCTCAAGTGGAAATTCTTCTCCATGGGAGAAGAAATAAAGTGAAGATTTTCTCCACTTTTTTTTGTGATCAGATTTGGGAGGGGGGTACACTTCTCTAAACAGACAGGGAAATGAGGGACAACTTTCCAGTCTCCTCTCCAAAAGGTTAGAACACACCAGTGAGTGAGCCTTTACCTTCTCAGAGTGCTTGAAATGTCTCCAGAATTGTGTATACATTCTCTTGGTGGTCTTCTCTGGGTAGCAGGCTACTGTTTTGATGTAAATCTTCAAGCTGCGCTCCAAGAGCTGGTTCACTTCCCTATAATCGTAGTCATCGTACCTGGGAAAGTGCAGACAATGTGAACTTCGGATGCTACCTTGAAGAAGAAAAAACCCACTTCGGAGTCTGACCTCTGGTCTACCTAGTCTGGCAGCAACTCTCTAAGAGGAGGAGATCTTTCTGGAAGAGGAGATCTTTCCTTGCCCTTGTGATCTAAGATCACACATGCATGAAAATGCCTTGTACTGAATCAGACCCTTGGTCCATCAAGGTCACTATTGTCTACTCTGACTGGCAGTGGCTCTCCAGTGTGTTAGGGAGGGAGTCTTCCACATCACCTACTACCTGTTCATGTTAACTGGAGTTGCCAGGGATTGAACCTGGGATCTTCTACATGCCAAGCAGAGGCTCTTCCACTGAGCCACAGCCTCTCCCTAAAGGTCATTATCATCATCCTACTTATCCTAAATGCACAACTGAAGTGCACATAGTACAAGCCAACATGCTGGAACTGAGCAGATCCAACTGTGGTCAGAGACAGGATTGGAGACCTCGCCGGACTCTGTGCGCACCCTCTGCCTTGAGTACCACCGGGGCAGGCTAGGCACTAAGGCCCTCCAAGGATGTCCCGGTTGGGCCACTGGCCTACCTGTCTCCATTCCGGGGCACCCTGACCTCAAGTGACGGATGGAAGGCATCAGCTGGTGCCACTACCGACCTGCAGCCTGAGCCCTAGGGGGCAAGGGGAAGGAGGTATGAAGCCCAGCCAAGCCCTACACAACAAACAAGATGCCCACACATGGTGTGGGGCTGGGGGGGCAGACCCTTTTGTGTGTGTGTGGGGGGGACTTTTCCCAGGCTGCTTATTTCTCCCAGCCAGAGAACCAGGGTGTGATATAAAAGTAAAAACACTCAATTTAAGGGGGTCTTAAATGTACTAGAGTACATTCTGTGTACTCTAGTACAAAAATAGGGCCCCTTCCTAGGAGATACGGCTACATCTGTCCTGCCAGGAGAACACTCTCCTTCTCCTTCACATGGAGGGCCCAGCAGAGGCAGAGATGGAGCAAGTCCACCCACATCCTTCAAGCGTGCCTAACATCCAATTTCGCTAAGAATTAGATGACTCAATCCTGTGGTCACGCCCGCTTGGGCAAGCTCTGTGCATGGCTGGCCACGTGGCCTCGGCTCATTCACCCCAACAGATACCAAACAGGCAACTGGCTCAGAGAGACCCTGGTCTTCAGTGTTTTCTCATTTTGAAAATTAAATTCTGGGAAACCAGGAAGGTAACTTTTTGCAAGAAGAAACACAGCTGAAGAAGCCAGGCATATACGGAGGAGGATGGGAGATTTAGGGCCTGACTCTACCCTTGTGTGCGTCCATGTCTGCCCCAAACCTGCCAACCAGATGTGTGCTAAGAATTCCTTACTCAGAAATTCCCACGCATGTGGGGAGCAAGATCTGAAACAAGACTGTGGGAAGAGGAGGCTCAATTCATCTCTCACCCTCCCACCAGGCATACACGATTTTCTCAACCTGAAATGCTCACAGGGAGCTGCTACTTGCCCCAACGGAGAACCTTACTGATGGGCTATACATAAGCTCTTCCAACAGGGGTAAAAGCTGCTCCCCGTGGCAGTTTCAGATTGGGGAAAAACAGCATGGGGGAGGGCAGGTGGAAGATTCCTTCTCCCCCCACAGTCCAAACCTGAATTGGGCCCAAACACACTCCTGTGAACTAAGTTCCAAAGGTGGAACTCTCAAAGCACATCTGGTCAACGGGACCGTGGCAGATACAAGGACGATATAGCCTATTGTTAGGCCCTCTGAAGAAGAGACACAACAGCACTCCATCATTTGTCCTATGCAGCAGGTCTCCAAGCGAGTTTGCATGGATGGGACACAACAGGCCAAAAGGGAGGGCGGAACATAACCTACCGAATGCCGAAGACGCAGTGAACATAATTCCAGATGGCCCTCCGGAGCATAGAAGTGTCCACACCGCTATGCATAGCTATTGTGTTGTATGTCAGGTTGTAGACCACCTGGAATTTCTCATCTAGCAGCTGCCCCACATCAGGATACAAGCGATTGATGAGAGAGTAGCCATGGTCTTCCCAGGTATAGTCCTGGAGGGGAGGGGAGAGAGAAAGTTGGCACAGAGGTTCCAAAGAGATACAAAGCCCCAAATCTACAATAGGACACTTAATTTGTACTCCATTTTTCTTTCCAGCAGGGACACAAAGAACCTTGGGAGCAATCAAGCTGGTAATGTCCTATATTTACAAAATGTAGCTTTGCAGTCCAGCCTAAACACCCATTTGTAGGACACCGCTGATCTAAAGACCAACTAACGATCTGCAGATTTTAACACACAAATGCAGAGCATGATAGTAGGATCTCTACTGAATAGAAGAATTTAGTATGTTTGAGAAAAGATTGGTTGTTGGGTTTTTTTGTAATTTGGCAACGAATGCCAGCATCAGGCCCTTTCTGAAAAATATGGGTCCCACAATGGAGACAGACTAAGTACCTGGGCTCGGAACGTAGGTGGCGTCTGCTCTCCTCTCCTTGTGAAATCCTTGTATCCAAACTCTGGATCCTCCACAAAACACAGGACGTTGGGAGGCAGGGAGTGTTCAGCAATATCTACTGGAGGAAGGACACCAAGAAGGTAACATGAGGTCATCGAGAAGGTTACCATGCATCGTCACTTCAACAGTTCCCCTCTTGGATAAACCTTAAAAGGGTTGTTTGGTCTGAGGGAAGAGGTACCCACCTCCAGAACACCAATATGATCATATCCTATACCTTGCAACCCCTAATTGACAAAATTTTAGACTGCCAAACAAATTCAAGGAGAAGACCATGTCGTTAAGCCCTTTGCAGGCAGAGAAATAACACATTTGGAAACATTCAGTAACACAAAGACTGTTAATCTATTACAAGGTGAAGTAGGGAGATTCTCTTCCTATTCAGCACAACCTGCTTTCACTGTAATTAGCTGCCTGGGAAGTCCCCCCCCCCCCCCCCCCCCCCTTCTGAACCTCTAGGAAACCCTCTAGAAGACTCTCTCACTATAGCCCTAAATCCTACCCAATAACTCTCTGGTGCCTTACCTGAGGTAGTAACAAGCAAGCTCTCAGTTTTCTCCATCTCAAAGCGTGTCTCCATCTCCTCCTGGGTGACCACCTCCTCTTCCAGCTGGCACTCCTGAAGCAGTTTCATCCTCTCCATCAATACCTCCACCTCCTCCATAGCATCTGTGCCCTGAGACAGATGAGAGCAAACACAGGTGAGTTTGAGGAATGGTGAGTAAAAGATGCAACCAGCCAGCTGCAAGCTGGGATACCGACACACAGACCTGCCTCACACAAAGCCAGATCCTTGGCCTACCAAGGTCAGTATTGTCTACTTTGGGTTAGCAGTGCCTCACTGGGAGAAGTCTTTCAACCCGATCCTTTTAACTGGAGACGTTGAGGATTGAACGTGGGACCTTCTGCATGCAAAAAAAGATGTTCTTATCTACTGAGCCATATGCTCCCCTGATTTTTCTGGAGCCTCCCCAAGTCCTGCATTGCTGTCCTGGGTCTGGACTAGATCATGGAGACTTTCTTGTTTCCCTTCTCTTCTTTAAACTTCATCATGGCATTTGGGTCTCTGTATACATTTCCCCCCCCATACTTCCTTCCAAGGAGCTCAGGGTGGTGTACATGATTCTTCCCTCTCCCATTTTAGCCTTACAATCACCTTGCAAGGTAGGTTAGAGTAACGGAGTGACGAGACAATGAGTTTCTATTGGATAAACATATGGAGCAGAGGTCCATCAGTGGGTATTAGCCACAAGGTATAGATAGGAACTCTCAGTCTTGGGCAAGGTATGCACTGTATTCTTGGTGCTTGTGGGGGGGGGTGCAACTGTGGGAGGGCTTCTAGTCTCCTGGCCCCACTGGTGGACCTCCTGATGGCACCTGGTATTTTTAGCCACTGTGTGACAGAGTGTTGGACTGGATAGGCCATTGGCCTGATCCAACATTGGCTTCTCTTATGTTCTTAAGACCAACTGGAGATCTGAAGCCAGGTTACGCCCTCCCTCTAATCCACATGCTTCCACCCTCAATGCAAAGGACAGGTGAAATCCAGCCAAGCTGTGCCATATTGATCTTCTTCCCATTGCACTGGTGTTACAACATTAAACTTGGCAGCAAGCGGGGGATTCAGCAAAAAGCTGCAGTCCTCTCTCCCTACTGTCTGAAAGCCCAGCTGGCCAAAAAGGGAGGGGGGGGGAAGCATGTTTAGAAAGACAGCTTAGACACTGCTGTGAATTTACCAGGGACAATTTTTAAGAAGTCCCATATTTTATGCAAAAGAAAGTTCTGGCTATCAGTCACATATGAACTGGAGAAAAGTGGCAGAGACTTTTCCCAGACTGGATTCCCCACCATCACACCCATTTTCTTCCACCTTCAAGGATCTAAAATAGATTGGACATTGCAGATTTGTTCTGCTGCTTTCCTCTGGAGGAACGTTGCCCAAAAGATTTGCAGGATCCAACCAATCACATTCTGTTGCAGAAAGTTGGAAAGTCACCCCCCCCCAAAAAAAAACAACCCTCTCAACTCCACTTACACTGGAAGTGCTGACCCCATCCTCAGAGGCTGGACTACTATCACAGCTGCGTGGTGAGGGGGGCCGGAAGGCGTGTCCTCCTTCCTGGTCTATTTCCAGATTGATGCCACAGCCAAACACGAAAGAAGCCAGCGAGTGGTAATGCGTCAGGAGCACCAGCGCTTGGATAAGTTCTGCAAGGGACCAGCTGCTATCGCCCGTCTTCAGGAGTGCCTGAAAACAAAGACCACACACTTAATACTGCCTTACACTGAATCAGACCCTTGGTCCGTCAAAGGCAGTGTTGTGTACTCAAAAGATCAGTTAAGAGATGATGTGAAAAGACCTCTGCCTGAGACCCTGGAGAGCCACTGCCTGTCTAGCTGGAGATGCTGGGAATCAAACCTGGGACTTTCTGCATGCCATACAGATGCTCTTCCATGGAGCCACAGTCTCTTCCCAAATGGAAGCATTCCACCAATTAGCCCAGAGTTGCAAAAGAGCATCTAGCGATCTATGTGACTCCACCACTGAACACAGCCTAAAGCTCTACCAAGATGCCTCCAAAGAGTGACTTTGTATGAAGCTGAACAATTGGTCCCTCCTGTGCTATCCAATGTCTCGAGAAACAATAATTCTCTCAATTCTGCTTCCCAAGATCCCTTAATTCCCAGAATTGCCAGCGGTTGAACTTGGGAGCCTTACTCACACAAAATATGTGTTCCCACTGATCTGCACCCACAATCCCAAGAATGGCCTCAAATATCTGCCTAAGAACCATAACTAAGCCAAGAGACTCCCTCTACAATCTTGTGGGTTAGGATGATGTTTTATGCCAGCTATGCTGCTTCCTGCAGGATGAAGTTCTATGCTTTTGATGCCCTCTTGGTTGCTTGTTTCTTATTGTTAGCCTGTCATATTGTATACTTTGGCTGTGTGTTTCATTGGAGACAACTGACATAATTGGAGAAGCAATATAAGACTTGGCACTTCTTATCTCTGCAAACTTTCACCTATACCTTTTCTGTCCTTCCATGACCCCTGCAAGGGGGAACAGTATTATCAGCAGTGTTCCCTCTAAGCTGAGTTAGTGTGAGCTAGCTCACAGTTTTTTAGCCTCCGGCTCACCGATTTTTATCTTCACTCAGGAAGGATGGCTCCAGAGCAAACTAATTTATGCAGCAGCCAAATCGCTTGCTCACTTTAATGTCAGTAGCTCACAAAATAGTATTTTTGCTCACAAGACTCCGCAGCTTAGAGGGAGCATTGATTATCAGCAGCATGTCTTGGAACATGTCTTCATGGCACTCATGTGCTTGTACATACGCAGAAACCTTGTTGACAGTCTCACACAGCTGGAGGCAACTGCTCATCACAGGCAACAGAACGAGTTTTGCGTTACCACTATCTGGGAAGCAGAGACGGAACTTCAAGAGAACAACTGAATGCTGCAACAGCAGAAGCCAAAGACATGAAGAGGCCCTAGCTCCCTGCCAACCTCACCTGGGCCATTAAGAATCTAGGAGAAGTGGTCTTTTGGGGGTGGGTGGGCATGACCTGTTTCCCTGGGCAGGTTCAGTAGCTCGAGTTTACTCAAATTTACACTCCAATGAATCACTTTGCTAGCAGCAGACCAGGATGCTTTCCTCTCCCAGCTAGCCTACTTAATGCATTGATTTTTGCACTGCCCCATGCTGGGTCAGTTCACTTGCCCAGCAGTGTAACCCTAAACAGATTTTTTGCTTAAATCCTCCATTGACTTCAATAGACTTGAAGCTATGCTCTGTAATGAAAAACAATCACACAAATTCATGCTCCTTTCCAGCTCTCATCAATCCAGAAGCAGCCTAGGTATCATTAACCACAGACTTTCAGCAGAGGCTTTCCTGCCATTTCTAGCACTCACCTTGATGTGCTCCTTGGTGATCAGCCAGGGTCGGTGGGCCAGGATCTTGTTGATCTCGTTGAGGTTTCTCAGTTTCTGCGGGGCATACTGCAAACCTCGCAGCCACTGTGGGTCCCCGCCCACCTGGAGGAACTCCCCCATGTGGAAGCCAACCAGGTAGGAGCACTGGTGTCTAGCAGCAGCCTAAGTGGAAGACAACCGGAAGGAGGCACGATTAACCTACAGAACTCCTTGCCACAAGATGTAGCAACAATCAGTTGAGATGGCTTTGAAGGCAGATGCATGGAGGATAGGTCTACTGATGAGCTAAATGGAACCTCCATGTTCAGAAGCAGTGTACCTCAATTTCAATTACTTTGGCTTCTGTTTCTTGCAGGGGGCATCTGGTAGGCCATGGAGGCCTGCTGGATGAGACCAACTAGTCTAGCATCCTATGTTCTTAGGGATGTGGAGGGCTCTCAAACAATGTCGTGGCTCAAAAGGGTCACCACACTTTGCGAGAGCTTGACCCAGATACTAATACCAATTCCCATTTTTCACCTCTCTTCACAAGCATCTACAGGCAGAGCCTAATTCCTAAAAATGAAACTGGAGCGTCCCTGAAGCTTCCATTCTAGAAAGGTAATAGGGCTATACTATAACAGAATAGTTTGGGAGGGGTGCTTTATAAAGGGAAAGGGAGCGCATACTAATATAGATAGGACATATGGTTTGTTTGCTGCATATATTACCCAATTGTTGTGGCCCTGTTTCCTACTGATGTAATATCACTTTTCTTTATTCATAGTCTTCATTCATCATAATATGCTATGCTTATTCAGATTTTTGCAATCCTAGTCCTAGTACACTATTTATCAGATGTCTCTTCATATTTATTTTAAACATTTATTAGTCAACATTTCTACCTTGCGAAACCCAAGGCAGCTTACAAATAAAACAACAATTATAAAAAAAAACAATAAAAGACCACAAGTTAAAATCTCAATTAGGACTGCCAATCAACGAAAACTAAATTAGTCAAATGCAGTCCTAAATAAAACTGCCTTCAACTGCCTCCTGAAGATCGAAAGTGAGTGGGCCAGGCACAACTCCCAGAGGAGATTGTTCCGTAATCATGGGGCTGCCACCAAAAAGTCCCTCTTCTCATGTGCCCCCCAGATGACCTTCTTTGGTTGGTGGGACAGTCAGGAGGCCCTTGATATTAAATCAACTTTCACTGAAACTCAAAGAGGATCACACAGTGTGAAAAAACAGGTTGCTTACCAGTAATGGGTGATTTTCGAGTGGTCATCTGTGCATTCACACCCATGGGATCTAGTGCGCACGTGCTGGATCGATCGGTGCTGTAGCAAGCTCTTTTAACGGATTTTCGTGCCCAGTCCCTTGGGCATGCGCAGGAACCCCACCGCGCATGCCCAGAGGGGTGGGTGCGGACATCCCGCCAGTTCCTACAAACCGCCGCAAATCAACCCTTATTCAAAATGTAGAAGCTGACAGCAGCGGGGAAGGAGGGCGGGTGGTGCAAATGCACAGATGACCACTCGAAGATCACCAGTTACTGGTAAGCAACCTGTTTATCTTCGACGTGGTCTCTGTGCTTCACACCAATGGGAGATTAGCGAGCAGTAGCCTACCTGGAGGAGGGTGCTGGCAGGACTATTACTGCGTAGCGAAGATAAAATGCAATGTCCCATGTTGGTATTAGAGTTCTTTCGGATGTCTAGGGCGTAGTGCCTGATGAAGGTGTTAGGCATGGCCCAGGTAGCGGCTTTGCAAATGTCCGGCAGTGGTACTCCCTGAAGGAAAGCAGTGGAAGTCACGACAGCCCTGGTAGAATGAGCCCTGATCGGGCCAGGCAATGGCTGTTTGGCCATCTGGTAACATAGATGGATCAGACCTACAATCCACTTCGACTGGCGTTGAGCCGTGATGCAAGTACCCAGCCGTGCCGGAGCATACGAGACGAATAGTTGTGAGTTTCGTCTAGTTGGGAGCGTTCTGTTGACGTAAAACAGGAGAGCGCGTTTCACGTCTAAAGTGTGAAATAACTTCTCTTCCGCTGATGTTGGATTTGGGAAGAAGTTAGGGAGGAAGACCTCCGCCTGCAGGTGGAACTCTGACACCACCTTCGGCAGGAAGGAGATGTCTGGGACAAGGCGGACTCCGTCTGGCAGGAATGACAGGAAAGGGGTATCATGGCAGAAGGCCAACAGTTCTCCCACTCGCCTAGCCGAGGTAATGGCAATTAAAAAGGCTGTTTTCCATGCCAGGAGTTTGAGATTGCATGTTGCAAGCGGCTCAAATGGCTTCCACGTAAGCTGGCGGAGAATGAGGGGAAGGTCCCAAGGAACAACTGGAGCCTTGACAGGAGGGTAGAGGTGTAACAAACCTTTTAAAAACCGTTTGGAAATCGGATGAGAAAACAAAGTGCATCCGTCAATTGGAACATGGTAGGCCGAAAGTGCGGCCAAATAAACTCGTAATGATGAATGGGAAAGTCCCGAGTCAGCTAGGGTGAGGAGGAATTGGAAGACTCGTTTGAGACCCACAGAGGTGGCTCGAGGGGCGTCATCTCCAAGTGAAGAACAGAACCGTAATCGTAGGACCTCCGCGTAGTGGGTTTCCTGGACTTCAACAGGACATTCCTTACACGGGCAGAGAAACCAATGTCATTATCCTCCATGCCGTCAATTTCAGCTGTGGTATGTTGTGATGTAGGACGGGAGAGTCGGATAGGAGGAGGAGGTCCGGAGTCACAAGTTCCCTGTGATAGCTCAAGGACTGCTGAAAACCAAGGTTGTCTTGGCCACCATGGTGTTATTAAGATACAGTCCACGTTGTCTTTGAGAATCTTGCGGACCACTCTCAGAAGCAGAGATAAGGGGGGGAACAGGTAAAGGACCAAGGATAAAGGAGGCCATCTCCCAGAGATTGTAGGTCTTTGCCTCCTCGACTGCAGATTACAGAGGACACTTTTTGTTGTTTCGTGTGGCAAAGACGTCGACTTGGGGAACTTCCCACTTGTGGAAGAGTGGGAGGAGGTATGTTGGGTTCATTCCCCACTCGTGGAGGCTGAGTCCCGCTCGGCTTAAATGGTTCATGTGACCAGGAATGTGAGTGGCCACAAGGAATATATTGTTGGCTATGCATAAGTCCCACAATTGGATGGCAAGGTTGCATAGGTGAAGGGACACTGTGCCTCCCTGCCTGTTGACATAGGAAAGCGCTGTGGTGTTGTCAGTGAGGACCGTGACACATTTTCCTTTGATCAACGGTAGGAAGCTGGCTACTGCATGTCGTATAGCCAGCAGTTCTAGGAAGTTTGTGTGACGTTTCCTCATCTGTGCGTCCCATTTGTCTCCAACCAAGAGGCCCATGGAGTGTGCACCCCATCCTGTCAGGGAAGCATCCGTCGTAATGGTGACTGAGGGTGGAAGGGCGCTCCCTGGAGGATATTCAAAGGGACGGTCCATCAAAGTAAAGAGTCCTGTATGCTGGGAGGAGGGGATAGGACAACAATGTGTGCGTTTTTCGACAGGTCGTAATTGCGGATGAACCAGAGTTGTAAAGGGCGCATTTTTAGTCTTTCAAAGACGAGAACTGACATTGTTGCAGCCATGAGGCCAAGCAGCCTCTGAACTTGGAAGGCAGTGACAGAGGTCTGGGTATGGATGACTGTGGCTAAGGAGATGATATCTATTGCCCTGTCGTGGGGCAGGTAAGCCAGACACAATTGGAACTTCTGACGACTGACTCGGAGGCCCAGATTTTCCAATAGTGCTAGAGTCTCTGTGACATTGGAGACCAGGGCGCTACTGGCAGGTGCTACCAGAAGCCAATCGTCTATGTATGGGTAGATGGAGATACCCCTGAGACGGAGGAAGGCTGCAACCACAATCATAGTTTTTGCGAAGACCCTTGTGGCGCTGGATAGGCCGAATGGAAGAGCCGTATACTGATAGTGCTGTTGACCAATCGCAAAGCGTAGGTATTGGCAGTGGAAGGGATGGATAGTGATGTGGAAATACGTGTCTTGGAGGTCGAGGGTGGCCATCCAGACGTGTCTCCGAAGCAATGGCATGATCTGTTGTAGGGACACCATGCGGAAGCGGTGGTAGGTCACGAAACGATTCAGTTCCCTGAGGTCTAAGATGGGTCGAACACCTCCGTCTCTCTTCGGGACTGTGAAGTATTGGGAATAAAACCCCATCCCTTGGAGGTGTGGTGGTACCTGTTCGATGGCTCCCTTCTGGAGAAGGATGGACACCTCCTCGAGAAGAGGTGGGGAAGGGGGCGTGGATACGACGACAGGAGTATTGGGGTTCTGTTGGAACTGAATTTTGTAGCCTCGGGACAAGATGGACAGCACCCACTCGTCCGAGGTGATGTGACACCAATTTTGAAGGAAGGGTGACAGACGGGTTTGAGCTGACTCGGTGACTGGGAAGTCAAAAACCCTGCTTGGAGTGTTTGGACTGTTTGGTGTGGGAAGCTTGTTGTCTGGAGCCGAATTTTGGTTTATGGAATGCAGGTTTTTTTCCTCCAGAGGACGCTCTTGGTCTCCATTGTGTTTCTGGAGATTGATGAGTTGGGGTACGTCTCTGCCAGGACCTTGACCAGGTGCGAGGACGGTATTGTTGCCTTGCAGAGGACGATACCCCTAGAGCTCAAGATGCCTTTATACTCTTATCCAACTCCTGCAGAGTAGAATCAGTAGTGGCATTAAAGAGACCCTGGCCATCGAAGGGAAGGTCTTCCACATAAGACCTAGTGTCTAACGGGAGGTTAGTGTTGCGGAGCCAGGAATGTCTTCTGAGAGCTATTGCAGAAGCCATCATTTGTGAAGATGCCTTGAGGACATGTTTGGTTGTGTTGAGCTGTTGTTTTGCCCTCTTTTTGGATGACTCTGGCCGCCTGAAGTTTGTCGTCTGGGAGATGGGTGAGAAGTTCAGAGAACCGTTCCCAGGGAGTATACTGATATCGGTTCATACAGGCCAGGTAGTTAGAGGCCTTGACGGCTAACGCTCCTGTAGAGTAGAAGCGCCTGCCGAAGGCATTTAATTTCTTACCCTCCTTATCTGAAGGAGTGGAATGGGTTCTTTCAGATTTGGAGGAGGATGCTACCACCATTGAGCTAGGCTGTGGGTGAGAGAAGAGGAATTCGGCATCCGACTCTTGGACTCTGTACATGTGATCCAATTTCCTTGTAGACACAGGAGCAGACGAAGGCTTTAGCCATGTTTCGCTGCCTGCAGTAGTACTGAGGACATGGGTAATGCCAAGGTGGACGAGGTATCGAGCTGAACTATGTCGTAAACAGAATCTGTCACCTGCGGGTGTTGCTGGATGACAGACAGACCTAAAGAGTGGGCCATTCTCTTGACTAAATCAGTGTAGGAGGTAAGGTTGTCCGATGGAGAGACAGGTAAGTCCTCTGCAACATCTTGGTTGGGAGATCCATGGTCTGGAGAGGTATGAGACTTAGAAGCCTCCGTATCTGAGTCCTCTTCCATGAAATCAGAGGAGTCTTGTTGTGGCGTGTGGACTGAAATGTCCTGTTGAGAAGGTACCGGTTTCGGTTGGACGATAGGAGTGACAGTGTTTGAAGTGACCAGAGGATTGAGTGGACGACTTGGTTCCAGAGTATGGTGGGACGGATCGACTATAGGAGGACGCGACAGAGATGCCGAAGGTCTCAACTTGTGTGGGGATCTCGACCTATGAACGGAGTGGGTCGAGTAGCGATCCCAATCAGAATAGTCCGCTGGAGTCAACCACGGCATGGACGGTGGGTAAGCCCCGTAGAGGTACGTCAACTGTAGTTGATCCCACGGCATTGGCGGTGGGGGAGGCAGGAAGACTCTGGGGGAACGGCTTCTGGACTGCGGACGTCTGGGAGACAAGGCAGTAGCTTGTTTGCATGTACTGTCCCTGTAATGTCGGTTGTCGATATCGACAGATTGAGTGAGCAGACGAGGAGGGTGACGCTGCGTGTCACATGAGGCATATCGGTGCCACCGTGGATCGATGTCGGGGGCTTCCGATACCGTCGATGTCGATGACGGAGAATGCTCTGCATCCATCTGATTACTTAGGAGCTCTACCGTTTCGATGGCAGAGTAAGGAGGCTCCATCTGGTGGACAGGGGAGTCCAATACATGGATGATCGGTATCGGTGGAGGGACTTGGGCCTCCGATATTGATACTGCCGTTGGAGCAGGAGGCACTATAGGGGCATCACCCAGTGCAGGCACTGCTTCCTTCCCCTTCTTCGCCGCCTTAAGGGACTTGGAGGTGCCCTTCTTCGTGGACTTATGCTCTGTACTTGCCTTAGCCTTCGTCTTGATTGGCGTAGAGGCAGATGATCGTGTCTTCGATGTCGAGGGCTTCGGTATTGGGCGGTCGACATTGGAGGCAGGTCTCGATGCCGGAGCTGTCGATGTAGACGGTCTCTTCTCCATTGCTGAGGTAGGAGCAAGGGCTGATTCCAGCAACGCCACTTTAAGGCGCGCAGCGCGGTTCTGTCTCATTTGGTTAGAGAATCGAGCACAGTGACGACACGACTCTGGCTTGTGAGACTCTCCAAGGCAAAAAATGCAGAGGGTATGATGGTCAGGAGGAGCAAGTTTGCTACCACAACGTCTGCATCTATTGAAAAATCCCCACTTCTTCTCCATAAGAAGAGAAGTGGAGAAAAATGGTGGTGGTGGGGGGAGGTCTGAGGTAAATTCCCCTCAGAAGAAAATAAAGATTTTTTAAAAAGTTTTTTAAAGAACAAATAACTAAAAAAGGTAAAATAAAGAACGGAAATAATTCCTAATAGCTGAGAGCTGCGAGGCAAAAGCGAACAGTGAACCGATCAGACCGACGACTAAAGAGGTCTTTCCAATGCGACGGTAAGAAAGGAACTGGCGGGATGTCTGCGTCCACCCCTCTGGGTATGTGAGGTGGGGTTCCTGCGCATGCCCAAGGGACTGGGCGCAAAAATCCGTTAAAAGAGCTTGCTACAGCACCGATCAATCCAGCGCGTGTGCACTAGATCCCATTGGTGTGAAGCACAGAGACTACATTGAAGATGATGGAGTATAAAAATAGTAAACTGACAAATTCCAAGTACGTGGCAGCTACTACCATTCTTCAGGAAAACTGGTACACTGTACAGGTAGAAGTTGCCCAGACTTGACTAACATCTTTGGTTATTTAAAGTTTTAAAAGGTGGGTCGAATTAGACAGTGGTCGTAACAGGCTCCCACCTGCTCTCCACTCACCATGATGGCGATGTAGTGGCGTTTGTGATAGGGCAGTGGGCCGTCCATCCTCAGGAGGAGGTACTGAGTCTTCCAGAAGCTGGTGAGGTACTCTGGGTGCAGCCCCATCACCATGGTAATGTTATCCACCCTGCCCGTCGAAACAAAGGCCTCAATGAAGAGGCGCCGCTGGGCACTCTCTGCTCCTTCCTGCAGGATCTACAGAGGTAGAAAAAAACACTCAACCCTTTAACGGAACCTCTTTTGAGAATGCTCAGATAGCTTCACATATGTATCTTTTAAAAATGGAGGCAAAATCAACGGGACATCAGTAAGTCTGAGAAAGCTGGTTGACTCGTTTCAATATCTGGACTCCACTTTTCTCCTCAAGCAGCTTACAACGGTTATCCTCTCTTCCCTTTTGTCCTGCGAGGCAGGTTAGACTGAGAGTGTGTGACTGGCCCAAGCTTCCACGGCAGAGTGGGGATTCAAACCTGGGTCTTGCACATCCTAGTCTGACAGTCCAACCACTACACAATACTCCCTCCACAGGAAAGAGACCCTTCCTACAAGTGTGTGTTTGTGATGGGAGGGATGTGTGTGAAGAGGCATCAACACAGCCAGTTGAAAGTATATCCAGGCTCTTGACGCAAGCCTGTTGTTTGTTCAATTCCCTGTCCAGAAAATACCCCCCTCCCCAGCCCGGCCCATCATACACCTCCCTGCCTTGCCCCCTCAGCAGAAGAGTGTCAACACACACACAGCTCTGGGCTGCCCGACTGAGAATTCCTGCCTTATGACGTCTTTTGGAAGCAGAAGGTGTCCCCAGAAGCATCCAAGAGCTGTCCAGGAACATGGTGATACAGTTTCCACCCAGCCAGCCAACGGCTCTACGGAGCACTCGGGGAATGAAGGGGGTGGTGGAGGAACTGGCACCAGGCCAGGGGAAGAAGGCGGCAGCTGCCTGCCTCGGGCGGGGGGAACACCCCAGTAGAACATGCGAAGGCAGGGCAATATCCCTGATAAAATGCCAGAGCCGTTAGTGTGGTTAATCGCAACCCCCTCCCCCGGAAAGTGCCTCCAAGGCATGAAAGGAGAGTGGTGGAATTTAACAGGCATAGGAACCCACAGCTCAGAAAGGTAGGTCCACGCGGCTCTTGCGATATGTTGTTTGTGCACCCAGGCGGGGAAGGTCACTCGATAAATATGGAGATGACAGCACTGCAGGACAATGCCACCACATGTGTCACTCTGAGCAGAGCCAAGGATCTGATTGTGGCAATAACCGTTCCATGTAGAAGCTGTAAAGTTGTCCCCCACCCTGGGAGGGAGGAAGAATTAAGTAAACACCCTGCATGTTTCCCAATGTAGCAGCCTGAATAGTCCAATCTCAGTAAAGCTCGGAAGTTAAGCAGGGTTGACCACAGTTAATATTTGCCTGGGAGACCACCAAAGAAGACTGGACTCGCCATGCAAAGGAAGGCAATGGCAAACCACTTCTGCCCATCTCTTGGCCTGAAAACCCCACAGTCCTGGGGTCACCATGAGTCGGCTGCCACTTGACAGCACACAATTATTATTATGCCGCCTGATCCACTGCTGATCACTGTTCTCTTACAACAGTTTCAGAAATCTTGGAGAAAAAGTTCCTCCTTTGCTTTAGGTTATATATTGACACAAGAGGCAGGACCCGTGATGCTAGCGGGGGGGGGGGAGGTATTCCCCTCGGCTCCCAGGTGACTCGCCTGCTGAAGCAGCAGGAGCTCTGCACAGAGGAGGATGCTGCAGCGGCTGCAGGGGAGCCCAGCAGGCGGTCCGTTGGGCTCACCAAGATTTCACCCACCCACCTGACGACAGCAGCAACGGCTGTGGCTAGCCACCAGCCCTCCAAGGTTTCCCCCCTCAGCCACTGCGGCGAGCCCTGTGCTGCTCCTCTCCCGCCACCGCCAGCAGCAACAACGGCAATGCCCCCCCCCCAGCAATGGCCGCGGCTCCCAGCCGCCGGCTGCCAAGGTTTCTCTTCCTGCACCGTTGCCACAGCTGCCACTGCTTCCAGCAGCCACAGTTCCTATTGGTAAGTGCTTTCTCTGCACATGCGCAGGGAAAGCTCTTTTATTTTTGGGGGGGGGGGATTTAAATATCCCCTGTATACTTTTTTCAACTTTTTAGATTTTTCTGCACATCTGGGGATTGCTTCAAATGTGCAGGAAAATCTCCCTGCCCCCAAGTGCCCCCGATGTGCAGATTTAGATATCCACACGCTGTGGGGGCATGTTGGAAATTAGATATACAAGAAAGGCGTCCTGTGAAACTCGCGGGGGGCGGGGGAGCTCCACGCAGAGCAGGCGGAGGAGGAAGCAGCAGCAGCAGGTAAGCTTCCCCCCATCCCGCCAATTCCCCCCCACGTCTCCTCCACCACCTCCCTCCACCACCACCATGACCCCCAGCTCAGGGGGTGAAGCCGGAGTGGCTTGCACGC